TTCTTAATTACACTCCATTGATTTTGCTTCCTTATAACAGATGTTCATTAACTCTTTTTTTAGAATTCTTAAGAAATGCTGAATAACTAATTTTAATTTCAATACTTCCTTGAATTTGAATCTTTCATCATTTAATTTAGTTTTACAAATAACTAAATGATTTTGCATTCACTTTAGGTATGTCATTTAATGACTCTTTTAAAAATTAAGTTATGACTGAAGATACTGTGATCTTACATTTTGACAAACCCATTTTGATTTTCTCTGTATTTTTTACATATATATGTGAATATTTTGAAATGAATTCTTATATTTTTAGTGGACAAAAAATATATATGGTATATAACACAGTGTATTGAAGTATGTGAGAACTGTGGAATGGCTAATGGAACTAATTAATATATATACTGCCTCACATATCTTTTTGTTGTGAAAACACTTTAAAGTGTACATTATTAATTATAGTTAACATGCTGTAAAGTAGTTTAAAAAGTTAGTAGGGATAGCTTACAAAACAACAAAACAGAAAACACAACCACAGGAATTTATGAAATGTGTGCCTGTTACAATACAACCTGAAAACACCACACTGAGATTAGTATATAAAATTCAGTGACCTTGAAAACCAGGACACATTAAAATGTCATTTTGGTCTCCAGTTGTATTTCCTTCCCCCTTTGAGTCTCAATAAAAATTCTGGAATCTGAGTATAAGATGACCTGAGTGTTGGCAGAATGTACTTAATGAGTAAGAAAAGGGAGATTCTACTATACTGCTTGCAGAACAAAAGCATTAGTGTGTATAAAAGAAATAAAAGTCACTAAGAGTTGGTGTTGAAACAGCAAACTGCTATGTACAGCTTTGGCAGTAGACAATGGCTACTATGTATTGTCAAACTCAAAGGCTATTTATGTATGAAATAAAGTCATTCCTAATGTTCATTCTGGAAGAAATGTACACTTATCACTATGCTACCAACACCAACTAACTGTTTGGTACCACACTGTCTCTTCAACCACAGGACAGAATTTTAAAAACTCAAGCACAATTACTTTTAATTCATTTTATTTTTAAAAGTTGTATTATAGTTTTACTTATATGTACATGTGTCAGTGAGAGTGAATGCTGAGTGTGTGTGTGTATGTGTGTGTATGCATGCACCGACAGAAGCCAGAAAGGCATGTCAAATCCTCTGGAGCTACAGTCACAGGTGGTTGTGGGCTCCCTGACTTGGATTCCTCTGGAAGGAAGTGTTTGTTGTAGAATTTTAAGATGTGTTACATTTGTTTATGCTAGGGAACATTTGTTTTAATGATGCAAAGACCTGTTGCATTCTTTTATGTTGCATTTGTTTAACTCTGTGAAGCTGTGATACTTTGTTTGTCTAAAATACCTGATCGGTCTAATAAAGAGCTGAATGGCTCCTGCCTAGGAGAAAGGATAGGTGGGGCTGGCAGGCAGAGAGAATAAATAGGAGGAAGATCAGGAAGCAAGAAAAGATCAAGGAACAAGAAACGAAGGGGACAGCTACCCAGCCACCCAGCCACAGCCAGACACGGAATAAGAAGGATATACAGAAATAGAGAAAGGTAAAAGCCCAGAGGCAAAAGGTAGATGGGATAATTTAAGTTAGGAAAAGCTGGCTAGCAATAAGCCAAGCCTCTGTGTGATTTAGCTGGGAGTTGGGTGGCAGGTCCTCCAAAAGAGCAAAGAGTAAAAGAGTGAAAAACAACCAACAACAAGTGTTCTTAACTCCTGCATCACCTCTCTAGACTCTTATTTTGTTAAAATAAGTATATTAAACAGCAGCTTTTTCATGATAAGTTCAAGGTAGAAAAGGGAGTTGAGGATTTCAAAACCCAAGTAGGAATTACCAATCCTGCAAAAAGTTAAAACCCCTCAGAAGCTAATGGTTTTCCAACAAGAGAACCATGACCACCTCACTCACTCCTGCAGAGGTCATGTCTGGTTGTTTCAAGTATCATGGCAGTATGGGGTACAGAGCACATTACATTATAAAAGATCGCTCTTCTGGGGAAAGCATGTGAATTAATCCAAACAAGTCAGGAAAAGTAGGAGGTGCAGTATTAGGCACAGCAGTAAATATTTAAGCATTGTCTTTTTTGCTCCCAAGGCAAGCATTTTTTTTTTTTGGTATTCTTTAGCAAGTGGGTAACATATTAAACTATACTTTTCCAGCACTTTTTAGAAAAAAAAAAAAAAAAAAAAGCAAAGAGGTTAAAGAGCTGTTTTGCAGACAAAACAATTTCAGAAAAATATTTAGCTTATTAATGTGACAAAAATTGTTAATATTTATGTTTGTGTTTATTTTAAAAAATATAATAATAAAAGTAATTTTAATTCAAAAGAAATGCAACCTTGCAATTCCACTGGAATTGAATAATTTTTCATATACCCCTTTTGCAATATATGTCATTATAATTTGATTCTTTATAAAAGACAGTAAATACCAACTTTTCCTTAAAAGACAAATATGTATAATCACTTAAGAGCATAAGTTTTTATTCCTTAAAACTGACAAATATGGGGCTGGAGAGATAAGCTCAGGGGTTAAGAACACTGGCTGCTCTCCCAGAGGGACCGAGTTCAATTCCCAGCACCCACATGGGGCTCACAACAACCTATTATGGGTTCTGATGCCTTATTCTGTATTACAAATAAAGTATTCATCTACATAAACAAACAAATAAATAATAAGCCTTACAAAAACTGACAAGTATGTGTTAATAGTCTTCCTAAAATGTGCATACTAATGTCAAAAATTAAAACTCCCATAAGAATCACCATGTACAAAGGATTTTAAAGTGTATTAAACATGCTGCAACTTTCTGTCCCAAACAACCAAACTTCCTTTTCCATTTTTTCACATAAGCATTGTGTTTTTCAAAGTACTGAACATGACAGTCTCCAAAGCTAAGGAAGAGACTGCTCATTACTTCCCAGAACCATCTTCTCGTCCTCTGCTAGGAATCTAACTGAACTAGGTTAAACCTATATTTCCTGCTGCTCTAGGGTTGGGAGGCTCTATAGGTTGGCCATGGCCTCATGTTTTTACTGATGGCATATAGGCATAGATGACTTGCAATATGCTCCTTAAAGAGGAGAAAGGCTGCTGAGTCCTCTGCCTTCTTCCTCTTGCCTCTATTTTACTAACAAGAGTCAGACATGATGGTTAAGTACAGCACTCATGCTAGAAACCATGAGAACAGAAGCTACAAGCCAACAATCGCAAGAGGCAGCTGATGACCGAAGCAGGGGAGAGAGGACTTGTCATCTTAGAATTCCATCCATCAGAGTGGGGAAATGTATCGGAAGTCACTGATGCCTTGAGATGCTGGTCAGTCCATTCAATCTGAAGTAGTCAAAGGCTTCAGCACTCTTATTTTACAGAAGAAACAGAGACCCATAGACGAAGACAACTTGTCCAGTCCTACAGCTGGCAAGCAACCTTTAAGCACCAAGTTCTTAGTCACTCCACAATACTGCCTTCAGACTAGTCACGAAGAACTGCGTGAGAAACCTGACCAAGAACACGAGGCTTGCAAATGTCAAGACAACACTGGAGGAAGGTCAGGACCTCTGTTCACTAGATCAGGTCAGGCCTTAGCTTTTATAATAGGAATTCAGTTTGCCTTGGTAAGTATCCTGAAAGACAAATGAAGGCAAAGAATCCACTTCCGATTGGGGCCACGACTGCAGAAGGAAGAGAGACTAGGCAGGATGAGAAGTCTAACCAGGGGTTGGAGAGATGGCTCAGCAGTCACAGTGCTTTGCTACTCCTGCACAGGACCAGAGTTCAACTCCCAGTACTCACAGCAGGTATCTTCCAACCACATGTAATTCCAGCTCCAGGGAATTTAGCCTTCTCTTCTCTTCTGACCTCCATGGGCGCTCGCACAAACACACGCACGCAAGCACGCACAACAACAACAACAAAACCTTAAAAGGCTGGAGAGATGGCTAAGTGGTTAAGAGTACATGATGCTCTTGCAGAAGATTATGGGTTCAATTCCCACCACCCACATGGTGGCTCACAATCATCTATAACTCTAGTTCCAAGGGATCTAATATCCTCTTCTGACCTTGGCAGGCACCAAGTGTGCATGTGGCACACAGACATATATGCAAGCAAGAAATTCATTAATAAATCTTAAAAACAAAAACCTCTGAAAATAGTAAGTCTAGCCACGAAAGGAAAGAAACCATTGCAAGGCAGGCAAATTTTTCCATTTATACACAGAATCATCTCTGGATTAAGTTGAGAAGAAACAACTTAATTAAAACTCAATTAAAAATTCCTTCACGGAATGTGAGAAGAATACCTTTCATCAAAGGGAGGAAAAGGTATGTGCCAAGTAAAGCCAAGAGCACTACTACAGATCGGAGATACAGTAAATTTCATGTAATGCCTCCATTTTGTGGTAGAGGAGAATTACTGAGGTAGAGGAAAGGGGATACAATTCTGTATCCTTACAGTATCAAGGATTTTTAAAAAATCCTTCATAAAGCACTTTGAATGCAGTTTCACAGCACTCCGTAAAGAATAAAGAATACTGAATGCAAACACTGAACTAGTAAGGGCGAGAAACAGCACAGAAGGCACAGAAAAAGCTGCACTGAGGGCTGCCTCTACAGACAAGGTGCCAAGGGGCAGCACAGTGGGGCATCCATGCGGTCCCTAGCGGCCTGCGCGGTTAGCTCCAGTTTTCCAAATCAATCAATTGTAGTAAGTGATTCAAACAATTAGGCATCCAATAACATGTCAACAGAAACATCAAGAACAGAGACATCTAGATTTTGCACATATAAAATACAAGGGCACTGATGCTAAAATCTACATAGGCTTTTTAATTAATTCATTTTTATTTGCATATGAGTGCATGTGTATATGAGTCAGTCCTTCTATCATGTAGGTCCCGGGGACTGAACTCAGATCTTTAGGCTTGGCAGCCATCTTGCTGGCACCAGGTAGTGCTTTGTTTTGTCTGCAGCCAACCTTATCCCTAGGTCCCAGTGCAGAGGACACAGGGACCATGAGCAGCAGAGCTTTGCTGTGACAGCCTTCTGGGTCAGCTCCCACCATAAAAGGATGGAAGCTGAATTTGACTTGACTGCAACCAGGCAGTGTTTTTCAAAATGCAGGCAAAGGAGAGAAAGGGAGTAGGGGAGGGAAGGGGAAAAGGTGAGGGGAAAGGGGCAGAGGATGGGGGTAGAGGGGTTATCTAAAAAACAATGGTTGGAATGGGTTTAAGACTTAATGCATTAAAGGAATCACCCACTCATCTACAGGTTAGTGGATTCTGTTAAGTTACTCCTAAACATACAGTCATTATTTATAAATAAAACTATTGTTATTTTAAAAGCCTTATTTTAAAGCCACCCAAAAGACAAGTATCTTTAAATCATTTGAAGGCCCAAATAGAAAAATGCATGTAAAGAGACAACTAGAAACAGAAAGCATCTTAAAATTAGGAAAACTAAGAAATGGAAGGCAGGAGCAAAGACCAATAAAAGCTGGGGTATGGCCTAGACCTGGGCACCTTTCGTTTCTAGTCACCTTGAATTATTAATAACCAAGGCACAATAAAGACTGAACAATGCTGTCATTCTGAAGGGCTCAAGGGGGAGACTTAGCAGGCTCGTTCTGATCAATCTCAGGACAATGACAGTGCCAACTGATCACACACCCTTCCCTTACAAATAACAGTAGATCACTATTACATTTTGTTGTAATTTAAAACGTTCCAAAGAAAAAAAATTTTTTAAGGGTTTCTCTGTGTAGCTTTGGTGCCTGTCCTGGATCTGGCTCTGTAGACCAGGCTGGCCTCGAACTCACAGAGATCCGCCTGCCTCTGCCTCCTGAGTGCTGGGATTAAAGGTGTGTGCCACCACCGTCCAGCAGAAATTCATTTTTTAGGCCCATGTTTTAAAAACAGCTACAATAGACACTTATTTAAAATTGTCTTCACAGCCCAAGGCTCTTGCCTGTCGAAAATTCTAGCCTACATCACCATGGGCTACTATTACATATGTAGAAGAATAACGTACGGTGATAAATATGAAAACAAAAGAATTCTGAAAAGTAGGAGAAAATGCTACTTACATCTACTCTTCATGAACTCCTACCATGCACTTTGGTTAATACTTGCTAATTCTACCTTCAGTTTACAGATGGTGAAACTGAAGTCTAGCAAAGAGCAAGCCAATGCAGATGCCAGTGAGTAACGAAGTTCTGATGCAGCAGTCAGCTTCTCTCTCTCTACAGCCCACTCTCTACAATAGACACTCTCCCTACCTACATTCTCTCCCTCCCCTTTAAAAAGTAGAATGCTGTTTCTTACCTCCACCCCAACTCCATTTCTGAAACAGTATTTACCTGCAATATAATTCAGAAGTAAAGCAGTCCACCTAATAATTGTTTTTAAGAGCATTAGGGAAAAAATGGCCACATATGAGTAATAGACACATTTGAAGCATTATTATTCATTCAGACAATCCCCAAGTCAAAAATTCTTAACTAAGTTTTTTCACTCTGATTTATTGTCTGATGGTTAGTGTTTATTGTCCACTTGACAGAATCTAAAATCATCTGAGAGATGGGTCCCTGGCTGTACCTGCAGAGCATTATTTTCATTGTATTGAGGTGGGAAGAACTGGCCACCGTGGGTGGCATCATTTCCTGGCTGGGGTCCTGGACTGTGCAAATGGAGAAAGGTAACAGAGCAGCAGCATGCATTTATCACTCTCTGGTTCCTGACTGTGGATTTGATGTAACCAGCTGCTCAGGCTTTTGCTGTCTTGACTTCCTCACTATGATGGAGTATCCACAGTGAACTATCAACTAAAATAAATCCTTTCTTCTTTAAATTGATTTTGTTAAGACTATTTTGTCACACCTATAAGAATAGAAACTAAGAAAGCTACTGTGAATAGGCCAATAAATTTCAAGCTGCCACTAGCTGAAATAAGTAACTCTCCCTTCATTAGGGCAGCCAGTGAGGAGAGAAGGAGATGTGTGAAGACAACAGATTCCATGGTTTATGACCTTGGGGTTTGATGGCTATGTGTGATAAGGACAAGCAGTCTGACAATTCATTGACTCATTCATTCATTCATATTCTCTCTTTCTCTCTATGTAGTATGCAGCAAAAAAAAAAAAAATCAAGACTCCTTCAAATCAACTCCTAAAGAAAGCACTAAGAGACAAAAATTAATTAAAGCAACAGAATAATTTATGAGAGCTGCCAAGTATAAGAAACCTGTAGAAATAATTAACGGTACAGTCCATTTGAAACGAAACTTGAGAAAATAAAAACAATCATTTTATATGTTCTAAATAATACAGACCAAATTAGATCAGAGCTCATAACTAAGAAAAAAATATACATATTTAAAACTGGATTTTAACAGCAATAAATAAATAAATAAATTTTTAAAAAAAGTAAGTATGAGAAAAGAAAAAAATCAGTATGGTTCAGTAAGCCAGGCAATTCTTCAACAAACAGACAGCTTGGGAAAAAATATTTATGACCAGCTGTAATTCTGCTTGCAGAGCAAAAGGTGTGTGTGTGTGTGTGTGTGTGTGTGTGTGTGTGTGTGTGTGTGTGTATGTATGTGTGTGTGTGTGTGTGTGTGCGCATTCAACTATGTGGATGTCAAGTCTCACAGTAATATGAATGCTTACCTAGCTTCAATTTTATGGCATAACAAAGAATGGTTAAGCTTCTTTGTGTGGCTGCAGGTGCCTGTGGTAGGCTGTCTCTGAAGATTATGGTCAAAATAATAATTCCTTCCAGGGCTGAAGAGACAGCTCAGTGGGGATAGCAAGCATTAGAACCTAAGTTCAAGTCTGCAGGACACATGTACCAAGCCATACCCAGCAGCATGCCCGTGTAAGGCCAGGGATGGCAAGGCAGAGAAATCCCTGTGGAACTGGCCAGTTCTCAGCTCAGTGAGAGACCTTGTCTTTAAAAACCGAGGAGGACAGGTATAAGGAAGACACCCAGTATTGACCTCTGGTCTCCACGTGCACACATACACAGCTCCACCCCCACATCCACACACATGAATTCACACACACACACACACACACACACACACACACACACACACACACACACCAAATAAACAAACAAACAAATGTAAAGCAAGAAAAAAAAGTGAGGTCAATCCACTTTCCTAAGAAATTCCTGCACAATGAATCTCATCTTGCTTAATGCCTGCTTCTTGAAGGGCCTGGATTAAAAAATCAATTTGGTATGAATTTAGAAAATAATTATTTGCTAAACAAAATAATTTAATGAATTCCCTTAGAGCATTTTCCTCTGTTTTAGTTTTAAAATTTTAAACTTCAGAAAAACACAGAATAATAAACACTTATGTGCACCAAACCTATACTGGACTAAATTCAACACATTCTATGCGTGATACAACTTAGATATAATTTCCCAGGAAAATGCCTGCGAATTCCAAGTACAACTGCTCTGCTCTACTCCCCAAATTCACAGGCACTAAGACAACAGGACAATTAGTTGTTGAATTTCCCAGGGTTTTGAATAATAAAAATGAGACGGGATTACAATAAATAATCTGCAGCCACACACAAAAGGGGAAAACCCAGAAAGGAAGAAAGTGAGAGAAAGAAGTGGGGGATTATTTCCTTCTGGAATTGGGCTGGCCCTGTGACTAGATGAAACTAATCAACTGCAGCTGAAAAACCCTACCCACCCTATGATGCCAGACACAGATGTTGGGTTAGACACTCAACACTGAGAAAGTACTGCAGAGCACGGAGGAGGACCAAGGTACCCCTGCAACACTGAACCTGACTGTGAGTGAGGAAGTCAAAAGCAGCACTGTAGCCAACTCACAGCTGGGTGCAGATGTGTGACCAACTCACAGACCTCCCAGCCTAATCAGATACCCACACATCCATGGGAATGTTACATCATTTATTTTAAGCTCCATTTTGGTGTGTTTTCTTACCCAACAATAAACTGCTGAAACGGTGATAAGAACTGGTAATGATCTCAAGTGGCTGGTGGAAGTAAGGCAAGTCCTGTCTGGAGGAAAGAACTCTGATGTCAGAGATTAGAATTCTCAAATACAGACTATGAAATAACTATGTTGTGAGGAACACAGTAGTAATCAGCTAAGACATCTAGAAACTCTAAAAACACAATAGACAGAATTTAAACATCATTGGATATGTTTAATACCTGGCTAGACGTAAGTTAAAAAAATCATTCAGTAAAGCTAGAATATGAAACAATAAATTTTGCTGAGTATATAGCATGGGGGAAAAGCAAAAAAAAAAAAATTAGGATATGCAGAAGACATAATGAAACAACTGAGCATATGTTTAAGACATTTGTTCCGTCAGGATTTCAGAGGGACAATGAAAAGTAGAGAGCAGAGACGACACTTAAAGCGATGTCTGAAAATGTCTTGTGATTGAAGAAAAACAGCAATCAACAGGCACGACGCTCAATGATTCCTACGGGGCAGCTTAGAGGAGCAATCTATTCACATACAAAAACTACCCTATTGAAACTGTAAGGTATCAAAGATAAATCCCAAAAGCTTTCCATGTCCAGGAGCTAGTGAAGGATTCTTTTCCTCTGGGACCATAAGCCAAAATGAACACTTCCTTAAGTTGCTTTTGGTCATGGTATTCTATCACAGCAACAAAAGAGTAATTAACACAGTGCCAATCACAAAAGACCAAATACTGTGATTCTACCTGTACAAAGTTTCCAGAGTGGATAACTTCAGTACAGACAGTTAAGGGGTGACTGCTAATGATATTGTTTTTAATAAGATGAAAATGGTCCAAAATGGGATGTTGTGACAGGTGTACCACTGTAAATACACGAAAACTAGCAAATTGTACCCTGTAAGAGTGAAATGTGAATTACTGTTTGCTGTGGGATGTCCTGTACGTTATAAATATACATTGCTATGATTGATTGATAAATAAAACACTGATTGGCCAGTAGTCAGGCAGGAAGGATAGTGTAGGTGGGACAAAGAGGAGGAGAATGCTGGGAAGTGGAAGGTTGAGTCAAAGAGATACTGCCAGCCACCACCATAAGAAGATGTTAAGATACCGGTAAG